TAAATTAAAAACATTTTAATGAGATTACATTAGTCATTTCATTTGTAATAATAATATAGAATAGAATAGATGGGTTCTCGTTTTAAAAATAGAAGTTTTTATTTTCATTGGAGTAGTTACGCAATACTCCTAAAGTAGCTAAGGTTGGCTGGAGAGCTATGTTCTATCGATAACAACAACGAATGGCAACACGGGTTGGAGGTAAAGCCCAGGGACCACGTGACGTCTAGGAATGGTTCCTGCTTTCGTAAGGAAACCTCCGCTCGTGGATTGGTTTTGTTCGGACTTGTAGTTTTGTTTAGAAAGCCGGTGATACCGTAACTGGCGAGTCTTGTGACTTATCTCAGTGCTTGCACGATATGGGAAAACGGCTACCTCAATGTCTGTCGGCTGTCAGCCGACTCGCAGTCGTTTGTCTGCCATATTATGCGGCGAGCAGCGACAGTGAATTCCCTGCGTAATAACCAACGTACTTCACTAACATACGGTCTGTGTGAAGATAGGTATAAACTATAGACTTGGGTTACCTTGTGTATAACATTTCAAAAATAAATAGTCAAATTTATAATATTCTCGTTTAGTACCTATCTAGATAATTTAATTGTTTTTAAAGTCTTAATTTTTATGTTATTTGTAATTTTAAATTCAGATAATTATCTATGCATATATGTATAGTGTATGTATAACAATCATCGTTGTGTTTTTTACATCAATTAAAAAAATCGTGGTTCAAAAATCTCTTTTATGAGACCGTTTGATGTTTATACGTGCTCATTGTTTTTCCAACGATGATTTATCATTTCTTTGAAATATATGTGTTATAATATACAACACTGCATATTTGCCCCTAACTGAGTGAAGCGAAACCAATGTCCATCACCATCTAGTCATTGTATCCGGTCCGTACATTTTTTCTTATTATTTTTAAATTATGATTAATCATCACAGTTTATTGCACGATGATTAGTCTTACACTCCTGTTTTTACTTTTCCTAAAACAGCGTTGCATTTTTGTGAGTAAAATTTAGTTATGCCTATAAATAATTTATCTGAATATTTCAAACTCATATTTTATTAATATACATAATATAAATTCATTGACATTAATAATTATATATGAGAATCCAATAGGTAAAGACTAAATAGTAACTACAATTGAACAAATAAACACTAAATATGTTCAACTAAAATACATTGTAGAAGTACCTAAAACCCGGTTGCAGGACAAACATTTATGTAACTATAAGTATAAATTAATTACATATGTGTGTTTATTTACCACTTGTTGTTTAAGTCATTTTTGTTCACGAAAGTATAATAAATGTACAGTTATGATTATTATTTCTCGTTTTTGACATACTTAATTTCTTATAGCGTACGATAATTCAGTTGTAGCAATTAGTATTGTCATAGTCAGTATAATATGTGTTGTCGCATTCGTGTACGCATTTTTCAACGATAAACCTACTCTGAAAAGTCGAAAAACCGTTGATTAGATAGCTTAAGTTAAGTACCTGAGAGTCAATAATACTATTAATAATATTTCATTATTTTCTTCAATATTCAATACAACTAATAGGTAATTAGTGGTTTTCAGGTTGGTTTCATACATATTTGATTTTTATAACTTTTTTAGTCTAAACTAAACAATAATGTTCCAATATTCAGCTAACCTATGTATATATAGGACCATTGCACACTCTCTTACGGAGACCCCATAAAATAAGAGATATATCAATACATGCTCGTATAATAACGATAGCATATTATTACAATGGTAAAATGATGATTTTGTAAGATGAGTATATTTGCATTTATTATACTGAACTGATCTACATTAATAGCTTATTTCGATAAAATAAAATTCTTATTAAACTATTTAAGTCTTAAGAAATATTTTTAAATGACTGTCTGTAGTAAACGATAGTATTATAGTATAATACTTTATTAAGATGGTGTTTATTAAGATAAAAAAATAAAAAAAATGTATATTGACATGATTTTTATAACAGTTTTAATAAGAGCAGAGAAGTATCATAAATATTATTATATTATATTATACTTTGTGATATCCTTTAACCGAATTCGTATGAAAACGTTTAAATTCATTTACAAATATTATAGAATATAGCATGAATTATTGAAGTTATTACAGAATTGAGTATAGGTATACTTCATTACAGTCTACGTGTTAGATAATATTCTGATATTTTTAACGCTATAACCTACAGTGCATAATATAATGTAACCAATGATACATCGATTAAAGATAAACATAGTATAAACAAGTTGTAAAGAATCATAAATTATAATAATGTAGTGTACTGATATCGAATTCGATGTACCTATGTATAAATAATGCATTTGCTGCATGTGTTCTGTTTAAGTAGTAAAAAAAAAATACTTCTACGATATAATGTACATATAATTAATATATTTGATAAGTATATTATTGTTATGTGTACCTACTACAGTATTATCTATTTACCTACCGAAAATTATTATTTTAGTCTAAAAATCGCTTTCTATATCTTTATAATAAATAATATATATAATATACTATAATATATAGGTACTCCGCATATTATGGCCAAAGCGTCTAGTGTGTGATATTTATTTTTTTATTTTAATATGATGGTTATTGTTTAGCTTATACTGACAATTTTTAAACTAATGACTGTTATTGTTTTTCATCACCCAAGACGACAGACGCACACAAGCCCGGATCAAGAGCTTCAGGGGCCCAGGGGCCAATACATGGTTGTGGGCCCCCGTCAATAAAAACAATTCTTTAAAGTTATAAAATTATATAATAAAACAAATTTAAACATTTTTATTTAAGTATGATAACGATTGATGAGGATAAAAATATTAAAAAAATATTATATTTTTATTAAAATATATATTTACACATAAAATTAAGTTTTGTTTATGTAAACAGGTTTAGTCGGTAGGTATCTGAATTATGAGTATTCATGACCGAGACAGTCCCATAAACAAATTTTCCCAATTCTATTTTTAAATATAGTAATATCAAAATATATGCCTATTCCCAACAAACACAAACATGGCTATGACGCTATGTTTCCCCACTTACTATACTATTGGTGGTAAACACGGTCGACGGGCCTCATCGACTGTTAGCTCAAACAAAAAAAAAATAAAAATATTTTTGTAGGTACTAATGTAGGTATTATAAAAAGTACAAATTATCACTTAATGTAATTTTAAACCGAGAAAACTATGGGCCCTTAACACACGTGGGCCCCGGAGACTTGGCCCCTCCCGCCCCCCTTAATCCGGGCTTGGACGCACATATAATAAATAAATAAGATCCAATTCCATAGCAGCTTGTGACGCTATTCGCAAGTTTAAGTAAAAATATAGTACATCACGCATAAAATATCCGAACCAGGATAATATGCTCATTACAATTTTCAACAACATTAACTTACAATTTATTGCGAAATTTAACAATTTATAAATAGACAAATTTGTTTGTATACACTTATAATTACGTTTTCAATATTAATAGATAAGGGACTAATGTAACTTTTTTAACAATAGAAGATACTGAATAAAATATAGATATATCATATATTATATTATGTAAAAATATATTGTTGAAAACTATTTTTTCTTAATGAAACTTAACGCAGCAGGGTTTCCATTCTGTAGGTATTTGTTTTAACCAATTGACAGAGGCGAAAACAGTGCAAGATTAGTCGAAAGTTGACAAAATTTTAGAGAGTTCACCAAAATCAGATGAAATGCACGGGAATTATGTATACGTGTGGCGTTTCATTGTCATATAATATGTCTGATAAAGTGATAACATAATGTTGTACATCATAAATCATAAACAATGTTATTATACATTCGATAGTGTTTATTTTAATATGTTTGCTGAAATCGGTTATTCGTGTAGGTTCTGTTACATATAAAAGAGTAAATTCGTGTGGACACAGCAGAAAACACGATGAACTAATACATCATCTAAATAACAGCTAAAAAGTGATATCATTAGTTTTTGCTTAGTTATTGACTTTTGAGCTAATACAAATATTTAATATCTTTACAAAAATACTTCATCGTGACTTGGTGTAAAAATAAAAATAAAACGCTAAGTAAAATTAAAAATGTAGTCATAAAATTTATAATATTAAGTACCTACAACTCTATTTCCAATATAATAATGAATTGTAATAGTTTAAGTAATTAGTAATTATATAACCTGCAATAAAAATTCAATTAATCAGTAAAAAATATAATCAAAATTGAATGAGTCAGCTGGAAGCTTAAATTATATTAAAATAATACTCTACTCATATTATATTTCAGAAGTAAGAAAATATATTTTTAATTAATTAATTTTTTAATTTAAAATAACATTAAAATAAGTTAATAACGTATTCAATAATTATGTTTTTATTCTACTTTGTGTCGGTTTATTACACTAAGCTACAGTGAAGTGTAGTTGAGATATAATATTATAATAATAGAAAATGACACTCGACGTGAACAAAATAAAAGTGGGTCAAAAGTCTTCAGCGGCTATCCAAGGCGTTTTGCATAACATTTTATCCATTCACACCTTTGGTTTTTTATTAGATTCCAATTTTAAATGTGTGTTTATATCGCTTATACAATTATTTATAACTACTACGGAACCTAGAGTGTTTTTTTTCTTTCAATTTATATCGTTACGATTGTAAGCTATGCCTTCGTTTTTTTTTTTGAAACGTTTAGTTTTTAATTAAAATTTTTTAAAGCCAACGGACGTGGACGGAAAGAATAAAATAAAACAAAAAAAACTACCTACGCCTAAAAGGCATACTCGAGCTCGTCCGCCGCCGCTGCTTTCTATGTGACTGGCCAATCGGACACGTACGAAATCGGATACGGCCGATGACAATCGGAAATCTTCATCTCCCGCGCACGACTGCAACAACATTCTATAGCACGCGCGTTTGCGGCAGCGGCGGCGGCAGACAAAACGCGTAAAAACGCGTCTCCGGACCGGGCGCAGTGCGCGTATCGTACCTCGTACCGCGCGGTCGTGCGTTAGTGAATAGTATACGCTTATACTATTATATAGTGTGTCACCAGTGTGGTGGAAAACGGATCATCTTTGTATTTTTTTTTTCTAACTTAACTTCACTAGACCTATATTTAATATGTAAGGATTTTTAATCATTAGTGTGTAAATCCATCGTACGTGGACGTACATAATTATTAATGTTATAATTATTTTTATCACATCAAAACGTTATAAATAATAATGGACGAGGAGACAGCGTTGGTTTTGGGCGTGCAACTATTGGCCCTGTGTTGCATAGCGTGTTCTCTGGTGGGTACCTACATGGCTATATAAATATATCTATAACATATCATACTCACACACTCGTGCAAATACTACATACGTATAATGTAATATAATATAAAAAAGTGGATTTGAAAATTTCATAAACGTGTGCTCATTTCATAGCCACTCGTAGTCAGTCCTGTATTGCTTTGATCCTGTGGCATAGCCAGGATTTCACTTTAAGACGTAGTTGATAATTTGTTATTTATATTGAAGAATATCGGCGTAAATCACTTTTTTAAGAGGGCCAGACCTAGAAATTTACCAGCCGGCACCCATTCATTAAAATTAATCGAATTTTATGAGTTAATAATGTAAAATTACATTCACGATATAATTATAAAAGTATATAAGCTTCACTGGATACTAGGATTCATCATATACATATAACAATCACCAAATTATTATTATTATTTTTTCTTTTTTTGGTGGGGAGGGGGAAGCGCTTCCCTGCTTACAGAGATTTGCTAATATGTTTAATAAGCCGATACCGTGGGTATAAAACGTTTTAAAACTTCGCAGCAACCATCATACAAATAATAATTTTAATATAAGTACGCGTTTATAGAATACTAAAAATATTTTTGAATTTTTCTAAAATTTCAACTAGGGCTGCAGCTATTTTAGCATCTCTAGCTACGTCACTGCTCTTCTTATAGTCTAAAAGACACTCGTTGACCACCGTTAACTAAAGATACGGAATCGTGGAAAAAGTTTGTATCGTTGTAATTATTGTAATATTCAATATGTGTTTACCAGTTATTTATTTTTAATTCAGTTTTTATACGAATAAACGTAGTGAATTATAATAATATATACATTAATGATGCATGGAATTTACTGATTAACATTGTGGTCGATAGAAATAAAATATTTTACGACGTTCAAAGTAAACCATGAGAAATAATTTTAAGTGAGATTTTTCAGTCATATAATTATCAATTAAATATCTATTGTGAATTGCAATAGTTTTTGCTGCAAAGTGTCAAGGATTAATTTAAATTTGAAAAAAAATTATCAATGATTTTTCAGGAAATGACTAAATAAATAAATAAAAATGACTAATTATTTAATCAAATATTAACGACTATGTATTTCTAATACTTAGGAATAATAACATCAAGAAAATTATAAAGAAAAATTGATTACACGATTTTGTTTACCTAATTAAAATGTTACAAATAAAACTATTTAGTATTTAATGATAAAGATATACGAAGATTTTAAGAATTTTGTTAGTGTAGTAATAACTAATAGTTACTATAGTAACATTTCTACATTACATAGTTACAACAATTTTTTGAATATAATTTGTGTACAAACATAACTACGTGTTCAGTACTAAAATGTATACACTACACACGTCGATGTATTGACAAATTCAATTTATAACCGTGAAGTGTATATATTTCCAATTATGTAATTTTATATTGTTATTCACTGTATATGGCAATACTTCAAAAAGTAGTGAATATACTTTTAAATAAAGCGTCATAAATTTTGATTTGTAGTTTTGTAAAAAAAAGACTACAATCTTTTTACACGTATCTATTAATTTGTTATTTGTAGAATCACAAATATAATAAAATTTATATGAAGATTTAAATCTCCTTTTTTAAACTGAAAAGGTAGAAATGTATAAAAATTATTTTTAAATTGATGTGTTTTTTATATTAATAATAATGTATACTATTATTACTATTATACCTAATACATCACTACGGCTTTAAGTAAAACGCATATGTTCCAAGACTTACATGTCATGTAAAATTTAATATGACATTGTAGCATATTATATTTAATATAAATAATATGATGCACTCGATATAATCTTAGTAATTGGGTTAAAAAATTATTTGAGTTATTATTTATTACAACTATATAATTTTAATTTTATAAAGTTATAATATTGTGGATTTCATGGATTAAATATTTCATAAATTTGTAATATTATTATTGCAACATAAAATGATTGGATTTAATTACTTAATTTTAATAGGCCTTAAAAATATGTAACCAAATGCGTTAAATTATAATTAATATTTAATTATTTAATCATTCCATACCATTTAGACTATTTTGTGTCTCATAATCTCATCCATTAATTGCGTTTGACAAATAAATAAATATATATATACATCTATTTTATTATTATGTGTGATAAATTTATTTGAGAACAAAAATAATTTTTTAATAACATTTTCAACTGAACTATACTACATTATAACATAATAACAGAAAATAATTATATTGGGTGATATAATATATATTATAATGATATATTTAAATCTATGTAAGAAACTAAAAAGGGTATATTATAATACTCATATATTTTGTCAATTCACTGTTCTTAAAGAAAAGCTAACGAATACCTATACTTATGATACTATACACGTAGAAAAAATAACGCCAGTCGTTAAAATGGGCAAATATTGTTTATTACTATGGAATGTACGTAATATGTATAAATCGGTATAAAAGTATATGATATTATGTTCGATAATAATCATGAAATAATCGGATTCAATACGTTAATAATTATTTGCACTTGTACAGTTGTACGTAATATATAAGCGTGTAAGTAACAGTACGTATAGATATATATGTTGTTAAGGACCACTTTTATACGTGTATACTATAATTACAGTAACTGCAGGTTTAAATACTACGTATTTTAGGTATATATATATATATATATATATATATATATACATATATACACACATAGAATTGCATATATATAATACGTTTATATACATATTATCATGTGTGTATTTTGCTCATTTCATTCAAATCGTGACTAACCACTCAGGGAAACTTGGAGTTGGAATATCGATAATATATATATATATATATATATGTTTATACGAAAACACGCTACCAGCTAATAACAAAACGGGTTATATATGCTTACGATTTATTTTAATAATATTCTTGTACTTATTATAAACGACTAGGGTATAACTTAAATATTGTAATCTTTTCATAAAGCGTCGAAGCGTGGTTTGCCTCTTCGGCTCTGAAAGAGTAATATTGGTAGATACTCGTATAATGTATTATATAATATACCTATAAACGTGTGTACGAGAACGTTTCAAACGCTTTCTATAAGATTCGCTCACCAATTATCAACACTGAGGTCTAAGAGCCTTTTTGGAATACTCAACCGACAACCAATGTCGTTATCGTGTTAATATTGCGAATCGTATTTGAATACATAATTACATGAATCCGGATCGATGTAAAGATAATAATATGGAATTGGAAGTTTGTTATTACTATAAGTTTGTTTTACGAAGTAACGGTTGAACTATTTGAAATCTTTTTCTTTATTCGTTTGAACGATTTTGACTAAAACCCAATATTTCAGGTCTATAATAATGTATATATATAGTATATACATTAATGTACTGTACCTATACATAATGTACATTATAAAGTGTATGGTATCAGAAATTTTTTTCAGTCGATTATTCAAGTTTTGGCTGTATAACCGACGTCATTTTAATATTTTATTTTAATAATAACAAATTGTTATTAAATAATGTAACACTTTCTAAATAGCACATTTTAATCACGAAAAATAGAAAATATTTTAAAACGACAACTTAATAGTTTATTTTTTTTTTTACCTGTGTGTGACTAAATAGATACATATATTATATCTAATCGGACATAATTATGATGATATAGTATGTACATCTTCTATGATAATTAATTTAAAAACCTTGGAAAAATATTATTTTTATTTATAGTATAAATAAAAACACGTTCCTAATCTCTAATGAATATATTATGATGATGCGAATTCCATATACAAGTTAGTTTATATATTTAGTATTTTGATATTTGATTTCACTACAGTTGACTTTCCAATCACTAAAAGACAACACAGAATGTTGATTGTTAGTAAATGTTACAAGTTACAAATTTTATTATAATACTATTGTCATATATATGAATATAATTCACGTCATTGAAACTATTATTAATAGATGATAGGCGATAGCTGCATTTATTATGTAATATGGAATTGATTTAAATATTAAAAGTTTTGATGTAGAGGTAAATAAAAAATTGTATTTTTGTTTATTTGCATAGTAAAATAGCTGTATAAGAATTATTTGAATAATAATATATTATAAATATTTTAAGTTAATTAAACGCAACGTAATATATCAACATTTCCAAATGAAATTTTAAAAATAATACTTAATTATTGTTTTAATAAAAACAAGATTTTTTATGATAAATGTATACATATATATGGCTATATATATATAAATATAGTAATAATATTACTTCAATATTATATGTAATTAATAATTACTGAATTACCTACTTTCATTGGAATTTTAATTATTTGAATATTTAAATTATAATTTTAGTTATGAGTTATGACAATTATTTATGTAATTATGTTGTTTTTATTTACCAAATTAATGATTTTCATAAATAGTTTATCATTTTGTAACTCGTATTCGTAGAAATGTCAAACAAATTCTTAATACTATACTTGTTAAAATTAAGATTTCATTTATACAATGATAAAAAAAATAAATATGATTAGTGTAATATTGTATATAATATATAATAACTATAGTTACTCAATTATTCTGAATATTACTTAAAATTATTCAATAAATTTAATATAACCATATTTAATTTAAATTTTATATATACAGTATAGCATAAATAACCTTTATTAAAATTAAACTTTTAATAGTGCTTAACAAATACAAATTAAATATTTATCAGAAAAATTGTAACTAATTATTCAATTATTTGTTGTTTAATAAATTATTGAATAACGTTAGGCAATTGGCGCTTGCAACATCTTGTAATTTTATGTAGAATTATAAATTGTTTTTGTTCGTACAATATTTTACGATTTGACGGGCAAGTTTATTTTAATTTTATAATCTATCCTCTATAAAATATATTACCACCAATTTCATTTACTTTAGAAACATTTAAAAAGTAATTTGAATAATATAAAATTAAAATAAAATAAAATAAATTTTACTTTTTTAAACTTTAGTTTTTTATTATTTCATTGGAAGGTTTCTTTGTTTTGTGAATTATTTTTTTTTAAATTTTACAGTAATTTTTATAGTAATATTTACTTATTCTTCAATACTATAATATAATTTATTGCACTAATGTATACTAAAATTAAAATTATAAATATTAATTATTGATAAAAATATACTAAATCATCAGGTGAATATCTATCACAATTGAACGTGTTGCTATTACAAAGTATGACTGCTACATGGGTTATTATTAATTTAATAATGTATACCAATTGCCAAAACAGTTGTATATTACAATATAACGCATAGCCGCATAGGTACTTATAAAACAAAAGCATAAAGTATAACGGAACGTTTTGTTTTCTTTTTAAGAACAGGGGGCTTGTCTTTTTTTCTTTAAAAGAATATTCTAGGTTAGGAAACAATAATAATTGGCTTATTAAGTTTATTTCTATAGAAAGACATTTGATGAGCAAAACGTGATATTCACGACTAAGTTAACTATGCAACATAATCATCATAGTTAGATAAAATCATTTTTTTTTTCATAATTTAATTTGGCTCAAATATATTTACTCACTATACAGACTAACTACCATTATCTACCATTATACGCGTTTAAAATCGTGTCTAGCTGGAAATTTATAATTAATATTATGTTTTATTTTTGTTTATTTTTTACGCTTTCCTACGTTTACTTTAAACACATTGTTTTTAGTTATTAAAAATATAATATAATATTATTTACAATCTGCAAATAATTATACAATAAAGAAATTGGCTATTATCAATAATTGTAGACACAGACGCACGGTTAACAATTCACATATAATAATATCTAATTTACTTTTAAAATAAAATATCTCTTAGTGATACTATTTTTTTATATTCAATTAATATGAAATTAATTATATATTTTACAATAAAGAATGGAGTTTAACATTGCGCTTAATGTTAATTTACCAATGTTTATATTTTGATATGGTTACAAGAAAAATTATACTATTTTATGTTATATAAGTACTCATATAACATATATTGTTAACATGGTGTGGTAATGCACACAAATATTCAATCTACGTATTTTATAATAAATTGTAAGTGATCCATAATGGGTAATTAATTATAATATATTTATTTATGACATATTATGAAATATTATATTGTTAATATTGCTGAAAATATAATTAAACGATAATGTATTTAAATAATGATCATTGAAACAAGCAGTTTTCGTAATTATATTGAAATATTTTGATATTATATTTTATAAGCTAACAATGAAACTATTTATTGAATTTAATGCTATAAAAAATTTAGTTTTTAGAAAAAAAATCGACTTGAATAATATTTTGTGATAGAACATGGAAAATATTAAGTATAGATATTAGAACTCAAAATGAAAACTTTATAAATATATTTATATACAGTCCTTGAGTGATTATTTGGTACCTATATAATATCGAAATAAATTTCGTAATGAAAAAATAGACTTCAGAAATCCCTGGCTGAATAGTTTAAAGTAGTTGTTGCAGATAACATAATATTCGTATTATAACATAAAACGATCATAGTCGTTAGTGCGGTACGCACATAAGACAAATGAAAATATTATAATAAGTAATAACTTACCTTTTTTAGCTCCTATGCATGATAATGTATATATATTAATTAAACACAATATCTCTCCATCCATTACTATGACTCATTGAACGTTGATTGATTAAAATCAAAAAATAAAAAAACTTTATATTTTAAATTGACTCGTAGACGTAGTGACTATTAACTTACTGATAATATACTACCAATAACATGGAATTTATGCTGATTTTTAAAAATGTTATTTATATACATATTATACCTACATACATACATATTTATAAATTTATTTTTATAACAAAATGAGTCTTGGCCCAAAATACAGAAAAAAATATAAGTATGATATAAAATATGATATATGCATATTATTATATATTTTAAAATATGAATATGTACAAGAAAAATATAAACTCTGTTAACGAAAATTTTAACAGAAAGTAATTGACCGATCCTCATTAATAGCACGCGTCATTTTGAACATCAATGTATTATGAGAATAATTGTTGGTGTTAAAAAGGATAAGTTGTTCGAGACTGGAAGCTAGATATATGGAAATTAAGTTGACTTAGTAATACAGGACAGTCAATAGAACTGCTAGTGAGTTTTCTTAGGAACACTTGGTTTACAGATACACGGTACAGATTATCATCAGTTGATGGTCTTAGAATTTTAAGTACTGGATTATAATTATTTGGTATGTGGTCAATATGTACTATCCTAGCAGCAAAATTTAAGAATATATGTTGTTATATGTTTTTTATTTGGTTCCTATATACATTATATAATATTATTATAAACATAAATAAAAACGATATGATGTGTCTATTAGAATTTAATATATTCTTATTACATAAATATAATTGTTTACTTTAAATATTGTTTAATAATAATTCATTACTAAGTAACAGTTATCACTTCTAAAAATTGTCAATTTTAATTATTTTTGGATTTCACTACACTGCAGGTAGCAACATTTAAATAATTATATTTTATGCGAATAGGCAGTGAAATGTGGTCCGGTGATCGTTAATTAATATGAACAATATTTGTTTTATAATTATAAATATTGTACATTAATAATATAATTTTTTCAAATAAAAATTTGATAAAACTCATTTTTATTTGCTTGCATAAAATCCAGTATATCAGTTCAGAGTTTCAGACGTTTCCACAGAGAGAAAGTACATACTCGAAGTTGTTTTCGAATGTGGTTTACCGATTACGGTATCTATATACGCATCAATAATACCTATACGTTGAATATGAAATTTTCATGTCCACCTTTATGATCTAAACTAAAACAATATCGATGCACACGACCACATGTATTTGAATGGGATTTATGCAGTTTATAACGTATAATATGTAGGTATATAGAGGAAGAATATTTCCGGCTCTCGTCATACACGTTATAATATCATCCTATTTAATTGTATATACCTACAACGTATATATATCGTAAACTACAGAGGGTGATAATTGTCTGATATGTACAATGTACATTAATAATAATCAATTTTATGTTAACTATTTTTTTCTATTGAAATAATATTGAATACTAGCTTATATTATTGATTAATTGTTATTACATATTTAATACTTTACTATTTTTTTCTGATATTGTTATTCAATCTTACCAAACTTTAATATATCTAAAGGTGATAGGTAGTCTACCTATTACAGCTCAGCTAACCCAACAAGGAGATTTTTTTTTAAAAAAGTAGACTATAAAATTGACTATAAAGTAATGTACATTGAGATTAGTGTAGAGCGCGTAGGTGTTGTGCCTTGTATGTTAGTGTAGTTATAGAATGTTTAGTTATAATTAATTCTTAATAATAATAATAATAATAATAATAATATGTGAATGATATTTTTACCGGTATTTATTTTTATTTAATTGCTAAAGACATCATAGAAATACTATATAAAAGTATACAAGATTATATCGTAATATTTTAATTATTGGCACTATCTTAGTGAAGGGATGAGTGTGCTTCACCAGTTTTCAAATCAGCACCCTCGTACTATATTTTATAATTTATATAAATATATTAATATTATTTTATTGATTTGGTCGTTGTTATAGGTGCTATACTTGTTGCGAAAAATGAGCAGGAAAACCGTGGACGCAGTTCCGGCGCTTCGATCAGTGCTAGTTACGTCGTGCGAGACGTCTGCTGGACTACAACTTTGCGACCGGCTGGCGGCTGCTGGTTTCCGGGTGTTTGCCGGCTACAAGCCGGACGTCCGGTCAGATGCGGTCGAGTCGTCTGATTGCATACTGCCGTCAGGCCCATCATCTGGAGCCTGCGCTTTGCTTCGTTCGCGCGTCAAGCAGCGTGAATCTGCCTCCACGGACGTGGAACGAGCACCAGGAGGTATCGTGTTTGTGCCATTGGACGTGACTCGCGAGGATTCATTGCACGAGGCCGTGATTACTGTCAAAAGGCATCTGCCCGCCGGGGAAGACGGTCAGTAAATCATCTGTTATGTATATATTTGATATGTTAGTGATTCTAAATTTTTAACTTGAGCGTTAACGAATGGTAAACATATTGAACTCAGAGAACAGCAGATACTTAATAATTGAGAAAGACTGGAAGTTGTGCACTTGTGTTAGTAGGTTATTGCCTATATAGGTAATATTACAAAACTTGATGTACTCACTAGTACCTATATTTATGTTAAATAAATCGAGTAAGTAACTTTTAAAAAGTAATATAGAAAGGAAGCTATAATGCCCATAAACTCATAAGTCATTAGTTTGAAAAAAGCGATTAAATTAACATTAATAAAATAATGAATCTAAATTTTTCCATTAAACTTAAATAACTACATTCCACGCAACGTATGCAAATACTATTACAATTAACATTAGTACCTATTAATGTTTTATAAAATTCAAATGAGACATTTTTTTACAGACATTATTTTGTGGTAATTAAAATTCCCATGTTTGTATTTGTTTCATATTTAATTTTGTATATTAAAGGTAATTTATGTAAATAATGATTTTTAGTTTTGTCAGTTTTGTGTTCAAAAATATTATAAAGTATCAAGTCTTATAAAAAAAATATTAGTGTATTAACTATTTTCTCATTGAAATAATACATTTTTTAAATTTGCATAAACAATAATTAATTTTAGTATTGTTATTTATGTAAAATTTTATTCAAAGTAATTATATTGTTAATGATTAATGTGATTAAAAAAATCACGGTAAAAGTTAATAGTGTTACAAAATAATAATATTATGTTGACAAGAAGTTAGTTAATTAATCATTGGCTATAAGATGGATAGGATGGATAGGTTAGTGACCATCACTACATGCCTACACTACATTTATCATTATATTACTATTACATATAAAAACGCTGATTATATCATTAATATTTTATATAATAAAGTAATTAATTGTATGTGCGTAGAATTAACGTAATTCTGAAGAAATATGGGCTAGTTGAACGTAATAAATTCTGTTTAAAATAGATATCTATCCGGAAATGTAATATGAATGTTACCTTTGTCGTTTCACGCCTGACCATAATATATTACGGCGATAAAATTGTAAAGATTACTGTATGCATATATTATGCACTTCCACATCTTTTAATTTTTAGACACTTAAAAATTTACTCACTTGTAAATTTTATTCACTTTTTTCATATGCCGTAAATTTGTAAATGCGCATAAGTTGATTCAAACAAAAAAATTCTAAATCATTGTTTATTTACAAATAGGTAATTTTTGTTCTTAGGAAATAATAAAAATAAATAACATTTTATTTTAACGATAAATAAAGTTTATATACATATTATGTGCTTCGAAAAAGTCAGAGTAACTATATGATTATTATTTGTTGAAGTTTGTAATTGGATTTTTCTACGAATCATAAAAACGTTGCTAGCCTTTCAGAATGTTAAAAATATTATATTTACGAATTTATGGTAATAACGTGGTTTTTATGAATATGTAAGTGCACAAAGTATAGTGTACAACCTGACATGACTTAATGCAGGTATATAATATTATATAACACATAATATTATACTAATAAAAATATTTTTCTGAAATAATTCGTCAAATTTTTCAATAGAGATTTTCATATTTTGCTTTTGAATAATAATTGATAAACGACCATGAAACAAAAATACCTTGCAAATTATATGCTTAAGCATAATAATATGACAACTCTATGTTTATTTGAACTAGTTTTTAATTTTTAACATGACACCTTCCCACAGTTACGTATTTAATTCATAGCAATACTGTTATGTAGTAAAGTTGAAATGAGTAGATAAGTTAAAGAATATTATTTTACTCAGTTCAAGGTCTATTGTAAGAACATTGACACAGTATCATATTTTAAAAGCCTATAATAATATAATAATATAGCCTTCATTTTATATAATAAGCACCCACATATTATAATTCATATACAATTTGTAAATTTGTTTCTTTATCAAATAGATTTACATTTAAGATTGTATCATATATATACTTTAAAATATTAAACTTATTGAATCTGCCAGGAAAGAAATTTAGGTAATGTTATTAAAAATAAAAATTACAAATTCTTGAAATTTTATAGTATACCTATTTAAATAAACAATAAGTCAATAAAATATTATTAAATTTTTTGTTAAATAAATGTTATTTAAATTATTAAATTAACATACGATTAACAATTTTTTTAATTTAGTATCAAAAATAGCAAAGATATTATTCTTGGTATCTTTATTCTTAGTTCTTAATGCAATAAATCTAATGATAACAATAACCCTCCGATAGTAATACAATATTTTTTTTAAATACTATACAATTTTTTTGAAATCTAAAATTTGAAAAAATATGATCTACAGTTATAAAAAGATAAGCAAGTGGATACAACTTTACTATGCTAGGTTACGAGTAGAACTCGTTTTTGAGTAGATCACTGTAATAGATTTTTTTAAATTTGAATTCAATGATAAACAATGGGTTTCTGCGGTGAAAATTAATTCTAAGTGAAGACTGTCTACATTTTGGTAACCATTTTTAAAAAAACAAAAATTATTTCAAAAATAATATTTAATTTGCGTATATATTCCCGTTTTTTTTTTTTTTTTTTAACGGAGAGGTATGAAATGAGATTTCAGCTAGAGAGCATTGTATAGGATCGAAGAAAAAAATTTACAAGGAATCAACACCCTGTTCTTGTAAAAATTATTCTGTTGTATTTAAAATGTATGATTTAAAATTTAAAGATCAATATTTTGTTAGATGTTGATAATATTATAGTTAATAATAGGAATTAAAAGGAAAAGAAATTATTTTTATTAGGTACTAAAAAGTAAAAACTGCTTAGATTTAAATGATATATTATTATTAACTCATCTAGACTCAAAGATGTTCACAAAAAAATATATATATATATATATATATATATATATATATTTAATTATATATTCCAAAACAGTTATTATATTATATATTAGTCGTTTTATAACCATTATAATACTGATTCTTATAATTTTTACTAATTATTACCTACTAAACTACCAATTACCAATAAACTTAATTATATTCTTAATTTATAAAGTGAAGTTTTGGATTTTTATATTTTGTATTTGTTAAAGATAACTTGTTGTTTAAATATTAACAAATATCAACAACTGTATCGTCCTATTTAAAATTAAAGTAAAAGTAGTATTAATTATCTATGTCTAAAGAATTTTTTCATTAACTATTCGTATTTATTTAACAATTTATTAAATAATAATATCTCAACCAATTTTATGAATTAAAGTACAGTAAATTTTAATTTATATTTAAAAATTTCCTAAGATTAATTTTGTTTTAGGATTTTAGTTTTCCATTATATATGTATACATTTATGATAGAATGTTAAATTATAACAATACATTATATGTATTCAATTAATAATTTTTCAGAAAAAATATATTTTAAGTAATATTAAGTGCATATAATTTGATTTTTACGCATCTAAAATTTCATAAATTATAATCTAATGATGTTTTACCTATCGATTGTACCTAATTAACAATTTGATAAAGAAAAAAAAATAATTCAACTAAAATCATAGATTTCCTAGATGGGTAAGTACGTGGCAGATTATTATAGTAACTACCAATCATAACCTATATTCGCTAAAACAAATCGAAATACCTACATTAATCGTACCCGTAAAGTGAGAGTAGCGAATATCTTAATAATTTTTGTCGTTGATAGAAATAATGTCGAACGCATCTTAAATTTTAAACACGACGTTCTCGCCTTCTTTGATACGCCTTGTCCTTGTAAATAGGTAATTGTTTTCATTTTTTGTTGATGAAATCAAACACATAGAATATAAATATAATTTGATTTTAAACACTACCTATTTAAGTTTTAATTTAGTTGCGATAATTCGCGAAACAGTTCACATCTATACATACTATACTATCATTATATCACACAAAATACGCACTTAAATAATTACAATTTCAATTGACCGTAATATTAACATATAATATAAATATAAATGTTAAAGATAGTAAACTTTAATCGTAAGTACTGAATGCTATGCACAATTTTAACATTATTGTGTATTTTAAACTATGTGATGGGAACAGTCATTTTAAAAGAGACATTTTTGTATTAAAATCGTAGATTTTTTTGTTCGTATTAAAAATACATATTATATTATATTATTAGGTATACATAGAAGAGCATATTTTCACATATACTTATATAGGTACTTTGAATGATTTGTCACGAGTAAAAATGTAAAATAATACAAATTTGTAGCTACTTAATAACAACCATAAACATTTGAGTGTTATTGTTTTAATTTTTCTTTAAATATTCATTGAAAACAGTAATTTAATAGTAAAACGTGATAATATAAATGTAGACATAAATATTTTTTACGAAAGTCGAAGAACAAGAAAAATTTGAGTAGTTTAATAATAAAATGTAATCTTCTATGGAGATCAACGATAGTTAAAATCATTTTGCTAAGAATCAACCGAGACTTTCTCGGTTTTAATATTATAGAGCTGAAAAATATATTTACGCGCACATTCTCCATATAAGCGACGTAATCAATTGTGAGACGTACGTTTTTTAAGAAATATCAGTAATAATAATAACCATACAAATATCCAACTTAATTCATCGGTTAGAAATCATAATCGTATATTTTTGTATAAAATAATGCAATAGATATAAATGAACAAAAAAAAAAAAAAAAAATGCATACAATACGTTATAATCTTCACAATCATATTTTTATTATTATTTGTTTGTATATATTAATATATAAGTAGGTGTAAAATAAAATATTTTAAATTTTTAAATAGAATTAATTTTTAATTATTTATTCATATGGCAATAGTTAACACAGTAACATACATAAAGTTATAAATTTAATTTTATTATAAGTTTGATTTATTAATATTATAATACATTATAATACAGTATAATATA